ACACTTTTCTGTGAGCCGTCACTTTCTGAATCTTCCTTATAATTAACTTGTCTCTTCTGATTCCGTCGTGATCTTCTCCGCCTAGTTTCCAGGTAATCGTCATCGCTGTAATCTGTGTAATCACCACTCTCTGTACAGAAGAAAACAGTGGCCTGTGTTACTCCTTTTCAGCAAAACTGCACAATTTAGGTAAGCTGTAGACCAGCATCAATAAAATCGTGTGCTCTTTCTGCACTGGAGAGTCTCAATCATCATATGCCTTGTTACCCTGGCCTGTCCAGGTCCATGCATCAGTTCCCCCATTCATCACCAGTACAGAATTGCTTTATTTTAAAATCTTCTCACAAACCTTTTTTCTACCTCCCTCAAACTCCTTCAGAACTGGTTTCATTCCAGTGATTTCATTCCCTCATCTCTACTAATGCCAAAGATGCCTCCTCTACAACTCCTGACAGTTGAAACGACCTTACTGAATCTGGGTTGACACAGGAAAGTCCTGTTTTTAAAATCTGAATAAACTGTACTCAAAGAATAGGTAGATGAAAAACCACTGACAAGATGAAACTCCAGGTAATATCTGAGTTACAGAATTTAAATTAACAACAAAAAACAGTCCCACTTGATCCTAAGTTTGCTTACAACAGAAACTGTTTAGAAGAAACCTGCCATTATTCAGATCTTCCTGCACCAGTCTACTGCAGCTAGTGTCTTTAAGAATTAAATTTATTTGCATCAGCTGAAAATAGCCTTGAATCAACTTCAGCTAGTTTTTCCACTGAGCTGTACCAGAACACTATCCCAAGATACACGTCTATACGTGTCACATACCATTCCTAAGTTAGCGATTAACATGAGTCACAGATCAAAGCACCACCCTCTTTACCTCCTAAAATATTAGATAAAGAATCAGAGCCAGTCAACATGAACAGCCACCTTCAGAAAGAAACTCCATCTCTGGAGACAGAAAACAAAGCCACTTGCAGAGTACCTGATTTCCTTAGCTCAAAATAGGATTAAGGCAGGATCCTGAGGAACAATAACGGGGTAAAACAGAGAAACGTAGAGTTAGGACTATACTCCTGGATACAGAAGGATACACTGGAATCAGATTATTTTATCACAGATGTGTGTCCACTAGGAAACAAATAATTGACCAAAGCAAAAATAAGAGTCAGCCGTGACATGAAACTGACTCTTCCAACTCCTCTCTCTGGAATAGAGTATTTAATATATTTAAGACTTATACTCACCAGATTCTCTGCTTGAATTGTCTTCTGAATCTTCATCTTCGTCGTCTTCAGAGTATTTTTTCTTGACTGATTTCCTTCGTAACCGCCTGCTTTGCCTCATGGGCCTGGAGAGGTGTCGCCTGGATATGCGGGCACAGAACTCTGAGTCGCTGTCTTCATTCGATGGTGGCTCGTCTTCGCTTTCATCCATATTTTCCTCTGATACAACAAACTCATCCTGAGAGCTGTTCAAAGAGAGACCACAGACAACAGAGACAGATATCAGAAACAGAAGATCGAAGCAGTATTTCTATTTTACAAGCAAGCGGTATATGCACAATAAGTACTGTCTTACAGAAGAAAATAAATGTACAGAACTTACAGTAAACTGTGGAGGGGAAAAAACACACCCACCATGTTTTGGCAGAGATAGACACCTCTTCATGAACCAAGCACTGTCCTATGCAATTTCTGACAATTGGAATGTCGCGGCTTAACGCAGAATTGTTGTTATTGTGCAAAACACGTATCACAAACTTACCAGCTTGTGACACTTGTGGCGTTTCAAAAATGAACCAATGCTTTTTTAAACAGTTGAGCACTGGTGGTAGGCAGCAACTTGCATTTGGCCACCAGCTGAATGTGAATTGCAGTGTAACATCCAGAAGGCATTCAGCAGAGGATGCAGTTGAAAATGCACGAGCACACTTTAACAGATCAAGGTGCTATTTTATTCTGCGAGATTTCCGCAAGCTACACTCATTGATTGGAAATTTCCAGTGCCACTGAAATGTCCTCAGCACGCTCACAGGTGAGAAACAAAGCTCAAATTTGCATCTGCTATACAGATTATCCATACACTTAGTAAACTGACGGAGTGACTGGTGTAAGGCTTTAAATGATGACGGTAAAGAGCCTAGACTTCATGCTCCATTATGTTTCTTCATTGAACCATAAAGGATGTCTAAAATTGTTATTATTAAAATTATTAGGTTTTTTAACATTAAGAATTGCCCAAGCTGAAAGATGGGAAATTCCATGAAAAGAGTTTTAGTTAGCCAGAGCAATACTCACTGAAGTGAGTTCACAAGACACATTTGTTTTCTACAGTATAAACCACTTTGGCTGTTTTCAAACACTATCTCCCAGAGAGCAGAAATCAAGGACTGATTTCAGAAAACTGCATGTCAAGTTCTGTATGCTCTAAATGGGGATATTTTACTCTTCTAATTTTTAAATGCCAATCAGGTCCAATAAAACAGGACATGTTTTCTACAGGAAACAGCCAGCCTCGTTTTAGCTACATCTTTGTGAAGGATTTCTGCTCGACAGTCCCATCAGTCAGAGAACTGAGCCTGTCTGGCTCCTTCACTCACATAACTGTACAGAACCCCATGGCGTGGCCTCAAACGCACCAGGAACATTTCCAGAACAAGTTTTGCTTAAAATACAGATTGGGTGATTTCTGTGCAAGGATGCGGAGTGCAGTTTTCCCAGCACAATGACGTTCCTCTAGGCCAGGAGGACTTTGCTGCCACTGTGCAGTGCTGCTCCAGCACTGAGACCATGGTCCTAATGATCATTTTAGGGCACTGCAGAGTCCCAGAAGCCTGTAGCGGTCTGTGACTTGTGGGGGAAGTTAAAATCCAGACTTACCCATCACTGATCTTGAATTCATCCTCGCTCTCCTCTTCATCCAGATTACTGTCACTATCCAAGTCGTTTAGTCGCCGTCGTTTCTTGCGTCGTGCTGCAGCAGCCCTTTGTGGTCGCTTGTTTTCTTTCCTTTCTTCCTCTAGGATTGTAGAAATGTCTTTTCCACGGTGACCTGTGATATTAGACATGTCTTTGCCTCTGCCAATGCCTGAATTCAGTGATAGAAAGGCAAAAAAAGAGCAAGTTTACTCTTTGTTTAACTTTATACATATCTTTCTTCAATGCCTCTAGCTTCAGTTTATTTTCTGTAAAGCAGCATAATTTCTTTGTCATGCAAGACTCTGTCTGGTGTCTTGTTCCTGACACATACAACCCCAGCAGTGGTCACTTGGACATACTGAGGTCCATGCAGAAGACAACGGCTAAGTGTCAGCATTCTGATAGTCCCCCCCTAGTTCACATGGTTACCAATGCTAGTGCCTTTTGAGCAGGGCAGCTATCAGAAAATACATTTTCTTCATAATGCCAAATATCCCTCTTGGGAGATGAAATGATTAAGTTGCTGTCTGGCCAGGGAGTGGAGTTTCTGAAAAGCTGGTTTTTACTGTCGAGACTTAGTTAAGATCATTATGTGGGTCTTGTCACGCACCCACTGACATTTGGTGTTCAGATTGTCGTGTACATCCACCCAGCTTCTGAGAGCTGGTGTCTTATGGAGATGTCACAAGCCAGACAACTGAAGGAGAACATTTCATGGCACTTTTCTCCAGGCAAATTATGGTGATGCAGAAGCACAAATCCATCTACGTCTCTCAGATACTGTTGAAGATATCTCCTTTGGTCCCCCATGTTGCCTTAACAGGCAACAAAGAAGATAATTTTACTTTATTCATTTATGACTAAGAAGTGCTTCTACATCTGGATATTTTTAAGATTACTTTGTAGACCCAGTCTTTAGAGGGTCCAACTGTGAACCAATTTATGAGCCAGATTTTGGCAGGGGTCAAATGGCAATAGCACCACAGCTGCCATTCCAATCTCAAATCCCAAACTCAGCAAATTAACTTCAAGAATCTGCTTATTCATTGCATTCATATATCAAAACATGTACAAGCTGAATTTAACTATCAAGACCAAATACTTTTTGTATCTTTTGGCAGCCTGGAATGGCCATTGCCAAGGGAAATTATTTAGGTTGATTCAAAAAATACAGATTATATTTGTTGCTTCTCATATTAGAGCAAATTTGGTCTCAATCTTCTTATCAGCACTGCAGTGAAAAACAAATAACATCAGGAACATACCTCCTCCATCAGCCTCCTTGATATCATCTTCAATTGCCTCATCAATTGCCTCGTCAAATTCATCAAACCTAAAAGTAACAGCTTCTGTTTACCACTGTGAAACAAACCTTAATTAAATTATATTATGAAAACGTTACCTCAACATCTAAAACTGCTCTGAGAAATCACGCTGCACAGACAAGGCGATGGATGTACAATAAAATAACGGATAATGCGATGGATTGATGATAAAACAGCCATTTTTTAAAAGGTGTGTTTCTTATTTCTACTCACTAGCAGATTATTTATCACTGCCTGGCAGTCTTACTCTTGATGTACGTGAACAGAAAACCACTTCCATTTTACATGACATACCACTAAATTTAACAATATATCATGTGAAAGTTCTTTAGGATGCTATCAGTGGCATTTTTCACACAAAGTATTAGTCATTTTTTCCCACATCTTTTATTAGGTGACAGACACACTATCAATCTGCAAAACAGACTTTCTGAAAACCACCTATTAAAGGAAAATTATTCATCCTGTCTAAATTTTCCTTGAAAACGTATTTCAGAGAGCTTCTTTCTCCTCTTACAGCTCACAGTAACTGTACTTTATGATCTGCAGCTCCTAGGTTGAACAGAAAAAAACATACTGTAATTATATACAAATAAGCTATAAGACCAAAAAAAACCTCCCAAAATACTTCAGTACATTTGTCCTGCAGCATCTTTTATAAAACTGCATAAATCTCTGCAAGCTGAGTAACTTATTTAAAGGGAACAGCAAATGGGGGAAAAAAGATCCAGTCCTTTTACACAGATGACGTCAGACTGTTCCTTCAATCATGAATTCGAATCCCTTAAAAAAGGATTGTTACCTGTACCACCAAATAGATGCCTTGAGACATAACATGCAAAAGTAAAAATTTTATTAACTATATAGGAAAGACATTTTACATAGATGCAAGTTTTTCTTCTCCTCAATTTTGGGGGTATTTTTTTTAGATACAAACAACTAAAAATTGGACAATACTTTCATTAAAGATTCAGTTTCTTGGTCATGAAAGAAGCATTACAGTTATATTTATTTTGGTCCTCCATAGAAACCTTCAGCAGAACAAGAAAAAGATAGATCTAATATTATTCTGTGTTCCAAGATTAAGCATAAAATATTTTCTCCTTTAAAAATCAGGTGATGGATTTCTGGTCTTTTTATATTCCCCAAGAACAACTGCGTGTCACGCTCAAGGCAGCTTGACACAGCAAGGAAGTAACTGAAATTATTCCAGCAAGAAGACTGGTTCAGCATTACTCAAACACTGTTTTCCCTCCACACCGCTAAAAAAACCTGCGTCTCTTTAAAATGTGAGAAATCACTTCATGCTTTCAAATCACCGCTAACAAATAACCTGAGCCCAAATGTGAGCTGAGAGCCGCTCATCCCTTAGGTGTAATGGAGCATCACTGCTCCTGCTGTATTCATAAATGCAGATTTCTGCCAACCTCCTCACGAGAGCACTCGACAAAGACTCGGGTGATACAAAGGGTTAACATCTCTTTAGAGAACCCCAATGCTACACAATACAGATTTGGCTGTAAGCGGAATAAGACGTTCAGCATTTATTTCCCCCCGCTGAAGAAAAGCTCACACAATTCTCAGTGACACCACCAGGACTTCACTGCAGACACAGAAATCTGCAGTGACACACAGAGACGTGTAGTATTTCCACCAGTTCAAAGTTGTGTGTATTATGAAGTCTGAAAGAAAGACACTATCATTTTGTATCAGAAGATTGATTTTTCCAGAACAATATTATATGAAACATTATTTCCAGTAAAAATTACTGTCTTTGCACAACATACGTCCTGCTGA